TGTTTAAAGGGCAACATGTGTCATTGTGCTGTTTGGAGACATGATGGAGACATGGACCAGAGAAAGAGAAGAAGAGAAAATGAGTGACAAGCAGGTTAAAGATAAAGACAATAAGACCATCTCCAAGCAGCTTGATATTTCTGTGATTACAGAACACATGTTCTTCAGAAGTTTAAGGTCCACAGGACTGTAGCCAACCTCCCTGGACGTGACCGCAAGAGGAAAACTGATGACAAACTGAAGAGATGGATCATACGAATGGAACCAAAGAGCCCAGAACAACCTCCAAACAAATGAAATGTGAAGTTGAAGGGCGAGGAACATCAGTGTCAGATCACACCATCCATCACTGTTTGAGCCAAAGTGGGCTTCCAAAGCCAAAGTGAAAATCTTCAAAAAGTGAGACTGGAATTTGCCACAATGCATATTGACAAACCACAAAGCTTCTGGGAGAATGTTCTTTGGACAGATGACACAAAACTGGAGCTCTTTAGCAAGACACATCAGCTCTATGTTCACAGACGCAAAAATAAAGAACACCAAGAAAAGAACACTGTCCCTACTGTGAAGCACGGAGGAGGCTTGGTTTTGTTCTGGGGCTGTTTGCTGCATCTGACACAGGACGTTTTGAATCTGTGCAAGATACAACAGAATCTCAAAACTATGAATTTATTTTGGAACAAAATTGATTGCCTAGTGTCAGAAAGTTTGGTCTCAGTCGTAGGTCATGAGACTTCAACAGGATAATGACCCAAAACACACATAAAAACACAAGAATGACTAACTGAACAAAACACTGGACTTTTCTGGAGTGTTCTTCTGTTCTGGAGTGTTCTTCTGTGAGTCCAGATGTCAGTTCTACTGAACATCTGTGAAAGGAGCTGAAACATGCATCTGGAGAAAGAACCTTCAAACCTGAGACTAGAACAGTTTGTTCTTATGGAGTGGATCAAAATCCCAGTTGACCAGAGCAGAAGTCTCACTGACAGTTACAGAAATCATTTGTTTACACAGTTTGTCTCAAAAGTTTGTGCAACAAAATATTAAGTTAAAGAACCATAATTTTTGTCCAGAACAGTTTCATTATTTAGTTTTTTCTAATAATTCTGTTGAACCACAGGTGAAAAACAATGTTGGATTTTTGTTGGACAATTTTAAGTACATTTTTATTTATTATTGCTTTTCTCAGTTTCAGGTTATTTCAGTGACGATTGATGATTTTTCTTTCATTGCCAGAGGAGTACCAACAATTTTGCCCACAACTGTAGCTCCGGAATTGATTCTGCTGGTTTTGTTACGTAAATTAGAAAGTCATCTGCAAATTCACCCTGACGCCTCTTATTTTTGTATTTTGCCTTATCCATCTCGCTAAAAGCTCAATGAATATTGCACACAAAACTGGCGAGAAATGGCAGCCCTCTCTACATCCTTGTTCAGTTTTTAAGGGGTCTGTTAGGCCACCATTTATACCATTTATTCTAATTTTCCCAGTGGGTTTGTTATATAGGCCTTGAATTATTTTTTATAAATTTTTCCGAGAAAGTAAAGCGAGACAGTACTCCATACATAAATGTCCAGTCTACGGTGTCAAATGCTTTCTGGGCATCTAGGCCCATGATTACTGCTTGGACGTTTTTTTTTTTTGTTTTGTTTTTTTGGATTTGGTGCATTACATGGAATGTCCATCTGATGTTGTCTCTTGTCTTTCTTTCCTTGATAACTCCTGTCTGGTTCAGGTTTATTATATCAGGTATGATATGTTCTAATCTTCTTGCCATTATTGAGGTAAAGATTTTATAATCTTGGTTCAAAAGGCTGATTAGTCTGAAATTGGGACAATCCAATTTGTCTTTTCCCTCTTTTGTGATAACTGTAATTAGTGTCTCACTCCATGTTGGTGGGATCTGACCTCCATTTAAAACCCAGTTGAATGTTTTCAAAAGAAGTGGTGTGAGTTCTTCTGAATAAGTTTTTTTTCTGCATTATATCCATCTGCACCTGGGGACTTGTGTAGTTTTAGTCTTTTTATTGCTTTTGTTAATTCTTGAGCAGTTATTGTATTTGTTAAAAATTTGTTCTTCTGAGATTATTGGTAGTTTTAGTTTGTCTAACAATGTTTTAGTCAAATCTTTTTCATCCTGTTGGTTTAAGGAATAGAGCTTTTGATAATACCTTGCAAAACACTGTCCAATTTCTTTCTGTTTGTAGATTACTTCCTTGGTTGATGGCTTTCTTATTTTATATATGGCTCTCTCAGCTTGCTGTTTTTTCAGTCTATATGCTAAAGTTTTGTCTGATTTACTACCTGCTTCATAAGTTTAGTTTTAAATGTAACAGCTTTTTATTTATTTGAATTTGTAGTTCTTGGTTTATTTCCTTTTTATTTTTTTTAGATCTTCTGCAAAGTATTATTGTCTTGTTAGAATTTATGTTGGTCTTCCACTTCACTTAGTTGTTGTTCCAGATTTCAGTTTTTTTCTTGAGGCTTTCTTTTCAATAATGTGGCTTTTGCAATCAATTTACCCCTCAGTTACACGCATCCCATAATATTTCTGCGGAAACATTGTCCTTATCATTATCTTTGATATATCTCCTGATTTCTTCTTTTATTTCTTCCTTAATTTCCCTAAACTCAGTGGCGAACTGCGGACCTGGACCCTGGGCCTTCACTAGGACCAATTGTAGGCTATCATGACATCATTTATTTAAAAAAATAATAATAAAATAAGCTAATCACACATTCACTTAGTTCATATATTTGTTTAATAATCATTAGCCACTGTTCTGCAACTACAGACGGATGGATCCGCGCCTCCACGGGCTCCAGCCCAGCCATGGGTTCCGAGCCTTGGCTCTGAGCTCCAGTTCCCGGGTCGTTCTTTTTCTCCTTCTTTCTGACATCCCCGAGGCGTCCAAATAGAGGTGCCCAGCATGTTTTTTGACACTGCCATCTCGCTTATATTTGCTATCACAGGGTATTCATGAAGGGCCGGAAGATGTTGTGATATGATCCCGCCCATAACTCAATGAAATATGATTGGCTAAGTCAACTGTCAAACTCAAACTCATCCCCAGATTGTCTTGTATTGCACGGGCCTTTGTTCCAGCCACCGAAGGTCCTGCAGGTGTTTCTTTACTTCAGTGCCTGCAGGCATTTTACACTTGTCACCATGGTCTTTTCCTGTTAGTAAGTTTCTTTTGGACACAGGTTCATTAAGGTTTTGTTAATCATTTAAAACAAGAGAACATAAGAAGAATCAAAATGGATAAACAAAAAGTCAAAGTAATAAAATCATTGAACTCTTAACTTTGATTCCTGTGTCCTTGTTAAATTTGTTTGGATCTCTACTTTTGGGTCATAACACATATTTCATTTTTTTACAACAGTATTCAGATCATTTTGTTAATTGCTTATTGTGTTGTTCTTGTGTGTTTTAGAAGTTAAGCTGCATCATTGGCGAGAGGAGCTCAAACTGCAGAGGGCATCAGAATATGATCAGATGTTCATTAGACATGTGAACATGTTCTACCTCATTATAAAGTGTAGAGTCTCGGGATTACAGCTCTTCAAACCAGTTTACAGACAGATACATGTCCTAAAGCCTCAGCAATATTTATCTCCTCAGAGTATCTCTTCTGTAAGAAAGAAATAAAAAAGCCCCCCTGGAGTTTACCTTCAGGATGATAGTTCCATCGGGACAGTGTCTTCAGTAGATCTCTCCTGTGCAGCTTCTGCAGGAGGCTTTGGGCCACAGTGATGCTGTGAACTCCGTAAACTTGAACCAGGCTCTTCACGACGCCGTCTCTTTCCACTTCATTCCTGTTAATGATCGGGAACTGTCCCATTGAACTTTCATCAGCCAGGATATTCTTGAACTTTTGAAATTCATCCTCAGACAAAGCTTCAACAAGTTCCTCCAGCATCTTCTTCAGAATAACAGTTTTTTTTTAAAGTAATCTATAAATGAAGATGCAGAGGAGATGGTCAGAGGGTCAGAGGAGCAGAGGAGCAGAAGGTCAGAGGAGCAGAAGGTCAGAGGAGCAGACGGTCAGAGGAGCAGAAGGTCAGAGGAGCAGACGGTCAGAGGAGCAGAAGGTCAGAGGAGCAGACGGTCAGAGGAGCAGAAGGTCAGAGGAGCAGAAGGTCAGAGGAGCAGACGGTCAGAGGAGCAGACGGTCAGAGGAGCAGACGGTCAGAGGAGCAGACGGTCAGAGGAGCAGAAGGTCAGAGGAGCAGAAGGTCAGAGGAGCAGAAGGTCAGAGGAGCAGAAGGTCAGAGGAGCAGAAGGTCAGAGGAGCAGAAGGTCAGAGGAGAACATTCCCTGTGAGCTTCTGCAGTGAAACATGAAAAAGGTGAAAATTATATTTTGATATCAGTGAAGTCTGAAGTCACTTACAGTTCTATTTCCTCTGCAGATTTTTGGTGCTGAAAAAAAAAGAAGTTATTTTATATGTTGAAGTGAATGTGATTGATTGTGAAGTAAAACTCATGTGTTTGTAACGGGGCCATGGCAGATGAGGTCAGGCCCACACAGTGTGTCTGAAACCTGAGCTCTTCATCCAGACACGACATTAACCCAGAATTCTCCATCACTGAACACTTATTTTCACATGGAATGGAAAATTGTGAAGGCCATCATTTTGGCAGGTTTTTCTGAGGACCATGGCCCAACACTTTTAAAATAATTTGGGGGGCACAAAATATCTAGATCTGTTCCAATAACGATGAAAAATAATTAGTGAAAAATCAAATGCTTTGCTCTGTGAAACTGGCAGCTGAGTTCTCAGCCAGTGTTAAGTGGAAGTGGACTAAGGGAGTGTGACGTCACCCACAGTGTTTGGCAACAGCCAAAACAAGTTCATCAAGTCTCGCAGCTATAGGGTGAATCTGGAGCCCACGTCTATATTTGGAATTCTGACCACAAGTATCTTCCCGGCCACTAGGAGCAGCACTTTGAGATACTAATAAGCCAGCTTCTGCCACTCGGGCCTAATAATAATTAATGCATAAATTGACTGTATATGTGTAACAGCAGTGTGCTGAGGGGCTGGTCTGGAGCTTCTCTGGAGGATCTTCTCACCTCTTTGACCTTTTTACGTCTCCAGAGGAAGAAGCCGATGACGATGACGATGGTGATGATAACGAGAAGGAGGAGAAAGACTGTGACTCCACTCACAGTAGCAGAAGAAACAGGGGGATCTGCTGTGGGACAGATAAAACACACATATAAAGGATGGATACTACCTGTAAAAATGATTTTTATGTCTTTTGGACTCTGGGCTCTTTGTTGTGGAATCAGCATCATGGCCACTACACAAGCCGTGTCCCATTCAACAGCTGAGGAAGGCCACTCCTTGATGTAGCCCCCGTAGACCGCAAAGGCCCAAATGGAACAGGTCCAGTCCACGGAGCCGCTCCTGTCGCTCAGCAATCGAGATGCGTTGATAACAATAATGCCAACAACACGAACCACGCAGATTAAGCACAGATCAATTATAAAGTTTATGCACGGCTGATCAAACACAGTCACACTTTGGTCATATTTCATTAATTACTTCATAATTCTCATCCAAATCTTACACCTAAAAACTCAGACTATTTAACTTTTGAAAATCAAAGCGGCTATACTTCTATAACATCTAAAATAGCCTAAATGACCTTAAAGCAGAACTATTTTTTACCTTAATTAATGTCTTTTAAAGACCATCAGATTGTTCCATATGACATTTTGGCGTGTTTGAAGGGCACACTGGCACCCCCTGCTGTCTCTGGGTGGAAAAAAACAGACACGCAACTAACTTGGTTGCCACCAACCCGGTGTCAGCTGTCAGGGCTCTGTTCTCGTTCTCGCGAGAGCCAAATACACACAGATAACCGAGCTGCGACACTCCCCTTACTGATGCTATTTACAGTTCACTGCAAGAATAAATGTCTAGTGTTTATTTGTGAGGTGTCAGTCATGGCACAACTAGCTCAGAGACAGAGGAAGCCTTTGTCCGAGGATGCAAGGAAAAGAAATCATGAAACGGAGAGAGCCCGAGCTCACAGGAGTGAATGTGTGGAAGGTGTTTGAGAAATTTGTTGAGTACAATGTTCACCAGCTTTGTGGAAACAAATGTGAGGCTGAGCTGAGCAGTGGGGTAGGTGGGGAGTGTATTTAAATAAAATTAATAATAACAATTGTTAAACTGTGATGACATATCTAAGGTGTGCACTGAAGTGAGTTTCTAAAGAAAGAGATCTCCCCTTTGAGTAAAGATGGTTTATGAAACAATCAAAGGAACTTGAGGAAATCCTTTGTCATAATGTGAAAAGTCAAACATTAAAGCCTTTACACACATTCAGTGCATTAATATGTGAGTAGAAACAGCTGTAGGTCAGTGTACTCTCAAACTGTGTTCCCTCTTTGCTGAAGCAGGCGACCATCTAAAACAAATAAATGATCTTTTGAGTTTAGTTGGACAGGAGAGTCATATGACTCACCTGGTCTGGGCTCACCTGGTCTCAGGACTCACCTGGTCCTTTGGTTGGTTTGAGTTGGGTCCTGGAGATGTAGATGTGGTCGTCTGTGTGGCCTTCACAGAGGAACACACCCGTTTTCTCTGGACTCAGCTCCTTCAGACTCAAACTGCCCGACTTTGACACGCCCACCACAAATGGCCTCCAGGGGGTGGCGTAGGTCACATTTTCTTCGCTCTGGCTCAGGATGTTGTGGATGTAGTTGAAGGTCCACTTCAGGCTCTTCACTGGAGCCGAGGAGATGGAGCAGGGGAGGGTCACGTTTGAGGACATTTCCACTGGAGCTGTGGACACACATTTAGAACCGTCTCACAAAAGACAGGTGTGGACCAGGGCAGGTGCAGACAGGACCAGACTCACGGTGCAGGCTGTAGGTGGCGCTCTTCCAGCTGTGGTGCGTGCTGACGTTACAGGTGTAACGCTGAGGAGGGTCGGGGTCAAAGCTGAGCGAGCTGCTGATGGAGTAGAGCTGGTTCTCCATCGGCTGCATCCGAGTTTGGTGGGCGGAGTCAGGGGCCCAGCTCATGTTGGGCTGAGGGTAGATGCCCTCAGAGCTGCAGACCAGAACATCTCCTTTAAGCTCCATCAGCACGGACGCCACAGGACCTACGAAGAGACACTGAGAAGGAGCACAGCACAGAGACCTCCTGACCACTCAGACCGACTGCAGAGACACAAAGGCCTGTTGCCAGTATTTACAAGTCCCATTTATCCAAACACAAAACACCAGAAGACTGAAATTACTTTATACACAAAAACCCTAAAGCAGCATGATCCCAGTAACCCCTTTCTATATGTATATTATTGTAACCTTTGATTTATTTGACTGATTTTATTTTATATTTAGTTTAATTAGTGTTTTGTAGATTATTTTGGGGAATTAATTTCTATTATTTTGCACTGATTATTTTATTCACATATGATTTATGATATTATATTTGGGCACATTACATTTACTTTTCTCCGTAATAATATTTGTTTCTAAAACTATTGCAGCATCTTTGATTGAATGAAAGTCGATGTAGTGATTATGGCGACAGGTCGAGTCTCACAGAGACGCACCCTGTCTCTGCTGCTCTTACCTTCTACGCTCAGATGAACATCTAACTCCTGACCAAAGCCAGAAGCAGAGACTGCGAGACAGCGGTAGGTGCCTTCATCAGACACTTTCACATCCGACAGCTGGAGAGAGGCGTTTCCTCCTGAGAACTGCTCCAGAAATAAAGAAGTGCGCCCCCTAAAGGTCAGAGCCTGCTTTTCAAGCCACTCTGCGTCGTACTGGAAACCATGAACCACTAAGCTTCCTTCGTGTTTGGCCCAGTGGAGAGTTGAGATCTGATCATCAATGCTGCAGGGCAGGAAACAGGTTTCCCTGATGATACAAGACACCGACAGGGACTCTGAGGAGAGAAGGAGACATATTAGGAGAGAAGGAAATGACTGAGAGGAACAAGGATACATTTAGGAAAGAAGTTAGGAACCAAGGAAACATGTAGGAAAAAGGTTTAGTCAAGTCAAGATATTTTTATTTGAGTCCAAGTGGAATCCAGCCGCTTAGGACTATTTCAAGTGGAGTCCATGTCTGAGCTTTTTACTTTGAGATGAGCCAACGCTAGAGTCTTTACGCCAGAACGCTTTATTTAAGAGAGTTTGATTCATAACTAGAAAAGCACTCAGAGAGCGCAGACCTCCGCCAAGGACTACCTCCATTTATATAAATTGCAATAAAATCAGTCTTCTGGATCAGATCCGGATCAGCCTTTGGAATATGAAAGAGGATCCCATTGTCCATCCCTGAGTCAAATTTCATGGGGTTTGGTCAATAATTAACCGAGATATTGAGAAACAAAATTTTTGGCCCCATTTACCACAATGTTAACTAAAATTTCAAAGTGATCCAGAATCCAGAATTTCTTCGGATCACCCCCAAAATGAAATCAGTTCTTCCTTTTCACATTTCCAACAAATCCTGAAAATTTCATCAAAATCGGTCCATAACTTTTTGAGTTATGTTGCTAACAGACAAACAAACAAACAAACAAACAGACAGACAAACGCCGGCAAAAACATAACCTCCTTGGCGGAGGTAACCAGGGCTCACAAGTGTCATAAACCAGAGCTTCTGTCTGCTTCATTCACAAGTGTTGAGTCCAGTTAAGCACCTGTCACTGAACGCTGTTGTTTTCCCGACTCTCCCAGTGCATTGTGGTCTATATTGACCGCTCTACTGACCACCAATGCCCACTACTTTTGCACTGTGGGAAAGTTTGAGTGCTCTAGATGAACAGTGTCCTCAGTAGGGAATAGTTTGGACATTTGGACACAGTCCTTGTGTCCCTGGCACAGGCTTCCTGCCCTCAGGCCGCAGATACAGGACTCTGAGGTGGAAGCAGACACGCTTCAGTAAAAGCTTTGTCCCTTCTGCCATCACTGCTCTCAACAGCAACAGGAATCTGGATCTTCAGCAGCATGTGTGTGTTCCTGTCCTCTGTCCATTTGTCTTTATTGTTTGTATCAATGTTTGACAGTGTCTATGAAAAAGAATTTCCCCCTGGAGACAATAAAGGTCTGTGTGTCTAAGCTCAGCTCCATCAGTAGACACAAGCCTGAACACTAGATGGCGCTCACAGCAGCAGCTTCTAGTGCTGCCTCCTGCACGAGAGGCTCTGAACAGAGTCCTCAAAAGACTGTTTATGGCAGTAAAACTGGATTCTAACAGCAGACAGAGGTTGACTTTACAAGATAACACAAAAGAACAGAAGAATTCAACACAAAAAGTCAAATGAAGTGATGAGAGCAGCTGGAACTCCACAGACCTGACACACACTGTGTCCTGTTACACACACTGTGTCCTGTTACACACTCTGTGTCCTGTTACACACTCTGTGTCCTGTTACACACTCTGTGTCCTGTTACACACTACACACTCTGTTACACACTCTGTGTCCTGTTACACACTCTGTTACACACTCTGTTACACACTCTGTTACACACTCTGTGTCCTGTTACACACTCTGTTACACACTCTGTGTCCTGTTACACACTCTGTTACACACTGTGTCCCGTTACACACTCTGTTACACACTCTGTGTCCTGTTACACACTACACACTCTGTTACACACTCTGTGTCCTGTTACACACTCTGTGTCCTGTTACACACTCTGTGTCCTGTTACACACTCTGTGTCCTGTTACACACTCTGTGTCCTGTTACACACTCTGTGTCCTGTTAGCCCACACACACCCAGGCCTGGCTCCAGGGTGGGGCCCCGGTTGCGCCATACCGGTCGACGTAACGGTGCTCGATTTTAAACTGTTCATTGGGGTTTTGTGAACTGCTCTTAGTCTGCCCCGTCACCTAGGACCTAGTATGCCATGGGAGACCCTACCAGGGGCGTAATGCCCCGGGCAACATAGCTCCTAGGATCATTCGGGTACGCAAACTCCCCCACCACGGTAAGGTGGCAGTTCAGGGGGGAGCACAGCTTGGGCTCTGGTACCCAACTCCTTGAAGGGGGTTGGACCCTCCATTTCTCTGGCGTTGCCCACGGGAGTGGCGGCGAGCTGGTATGGGCTTGCTTATAGCCCCACAGCTCAGCCGACACATGTTGGAGTTCACCCCAGTGAATGAGAGGGTCGTGTCCCTGCACCTTCGGGTCGGGGACAGGTCTCTCACTGTTGTCGGCCCTTGTACTGGGCCGCTTGTAGCTGTGGGTGTAAGGTCTGTGGTGCCTGTCGCGGCGGCAATCCCCGAACCCAGTGGTGGACACCGGAAGTAAGGGATGCCGTCAAGCTGAAGGAGTCCTATTGGGCCTTGTTGGCTCATGGGACTCCTGAGGCAGCTGACGGGTACCGGCGGGCCAAGCGTGCTGCAGCCCGTGCGGTTGCAGAGGCAAAAACTCGGAGCTGGGAGGAGTTCGGGGAGGCCATGGAGGAGGACTATCGGACTGCCTCAAAGAAATTCTGGCAAACCGTCCGACGCCTCAGGAGGGGGAAGCAGTTCTTCACCAACACTGTTTACAGTGCGGGGGTGGACAAGATCCATCCTGAGTACCTTAAAGGGATAGTTCAGGATTTTTGACATAAATCTGTATGGCATCCCCGTCATCAGTGTTGTGCATCAACACTGACTTACCCCCGAAAGCGTCCGGTGAGCCGAGATACTGGCCCGTTTTGGTGCTGAGGAAAGTAGTTCGGCAAGTTGTGTGGGGACTGTATACTAAAGCGTTTTTCTTCTCAAAGCAATATGTGTTCAAAAGAGTGATACATTTGCATCACAAAACCATCGTCGCCAAAAAAGTCAGATCTCATAATCGCTTGCCGCTATTTTCTCTCCGTACGTACCACTGCGCACAGCCGCCAATGTGACAGCCGCGCACGGATCCATCACTTTTTTCAGTTGTTCGGCAGTGTTTACAGGCGCAGACCGCCGCCACGCGAGAGAGCTAACGAGAGAGCTAACGAGAGAGCTAACGAGAGAGCTAACGAGAGAGCTAACGAGCATGTTCTGTTGATTTGGATAGGCCCACTTCAGTTCAGTGATATTTAAAGTCGCCTCAGTTAGGCTGCATGAAGTTGGAAATTATTTGCTGTTGCAAAAATCGTTTATGAATGCACTTAAAAAAAAAAAAAAAAGATTATATATAGAGTTTAACCGTGAGACTACACAGAGTTTAGAGTTTAAACATGAGAATACACAGAGTTTAGAGTTTAAACGTGAGAATACACAGAGTTTAGAGTTTAAACGTGAGAATACACAGAGTTTAGAGTTTAAACGTGAGAATAGAGGCTGGCGTCACAGGAGCAGCTCTGTGTCTCTGGTGTAAATTGAAGTTTTTAAAGTTCTCATGTGTGCACCTCTGCTGACATTATGAGGCTGCTGATGCTCCTGGTGTAAATTCCAGGTGAGTCTGGCCTTGGCTCAGCAGGAAATTATCTTTGGCTACAATCCTGCAGATTTACAAGTACAAGTCTTTTCTTTTTTAGTTTTCACCTTTTAGTTGAAAATCCAACTCTAAACAGGACAATGAACACTCAGACTGAAAATGTGCTCTTTAAATCCATCTAGATCTTAAAATGATTCTTTACAGTGATTGGTAATGTGTGCATTGTGTCACCATGGTAACTGCTAAACATTCCATCATAGACATACATGTAGACCACCCACAGCGTGACGTCCCTGTAAAGTATCAATGACTAATTTCAGAATATCCCAAATATAACAGAGCCACAGGTGTGAAAGATTATAGCTCCAGAGCGACACAAGCACAATACATCTTCTTTAATACTTTTGTTAAGTCAGAAAGGAAAAAACTTCACTCAAGGACTTTTTGGAGCTTCCCTGTGAGACCAGAGAGCGAGTGTATCAGCGAACACACCGTCTACGTCATACAACCCAAGTGGCTCAAGATGGAGCCGACTGTTACAGGGAACATGGGAAGAGACTCCACTTACCCCTGAATGAAGAGAGAGAGAGAGAGCGCCTCTGACTGAGCCATTTCACTTCTCTTCCTTTTATCTGTCACAACAAATCCACTGCTCCATGTCCCTCAGAGAAACAGACTAAGGCTAAACCAGTCTCTGAACTCTGCTTTTTGGGAAAACAAATCACAATCCGTCCACGCCAAATCAAACTTTTCCAACCGCTCTCCAGCTCCTCCTCCAAGTTCTGTGGAAAATCCCTCCCCTGAATTGTCTGATCATGTCTGCATTCCACACTAGAGATGGGCAGTGAAGCCTGGTTTCATAACAGCACCAGTGCCAAGTGTCGCCCGTTGTGTCACAGCACCAACACCGGGGTTGGTGTCACAGAGTCGTGACATTTGGAACAAAGAATCCAACATGATGAGGAACACAACAATAGAACATTACAGGGGTCTATGCAGTTCTCTTTACAATTATTACAACATTTATAGAGAAAAATATGACATTCTCAAGGACAAATCCTCTCCACAAACTGACTGTGACACATGGACATGGAATTATAGTTTCAGATGTAAATAGAAAACTTCCCCAATGTATGAGCTTCAGATGAAGCCCAAGATGAGCTGTGTGTCTCCAGTGGATCAGCTGCTGGAACAGAAATAATGTTTCATTTGGTCATAGAATGAATATGGAGCCTTTTCATTAGAAACTGGCAGATTTCAGGATCAAAATTCAACTTCACTTTCATGGATTTGATTCAAACTTGGCACAAATCAGATTTTTAACAAATATGCAGTGAAAGGCCAAAATAAGTGATAGGTTTATATTTGATTCTATTTTAGAGCCATTACATTACGTTTAGTGGCTTTTGAATAAAAGAGAAAAGCACAGATTTGATTCATTTAGACAAAACTGCAAAAAAGTCCAACCCCAAAGTCATGAGGAACTAAGCTGCTTTCTTAAGGCAGTAACTAAGTAGTGTAATAGATTACATTTTGAACAAGTAACTAGTAATGAGTAACTAAAGAGTTTTTCAAAGTTACTTCCCGAACACTGAACAAACACACAATGTCACAATGAAGTGTTGACATGATGAAATAAACAGAATTATGTTTGAATGACTAAAAGGGGGGGGGGGGGGGGTACGAAAAGCGCTTTATAAATAAAGTTTGATTTGATTGATATATTTCATTATTATGTAGTTAGATTGTATTTTATTCTATATCTTGTTAGGTTGTACTGTTTCTATATCTTGTTTTTTTCTCTCTTGTTTTGTGCAGGCTGATCTGACTCATGCACTCACTGAGGATGACGCGACTCTGATTCATTTGAAGCTATAAGAGTGAATAAAAAAAAATAAAAACTGGTTGAGAAAATGTCTATGAAATCACTGGTGTTTTCAAGTCCTTATACAGTCACATGTGCAACAGAAGCTATTTTCACACTCTGACTAAACTGGCAATTTTGAGGTTTGAGCGATTTTGTAATGTAGTTTCAATTACAAAAAACTGACTACACCAGGACTAAACCAGAGCTAAATGTGATTGAACAGCTAGATGTGATTGAAAAAGTCAAAACTAGACCAAGACTAAACCAAGACTAAACCAAGACTAAACCAGATCCAAAATAGTCTAGACTAGAATCTACCAGGAAAAAAACAGGAATAAACCAGATCCAAAATAGTCTAAATCAGGGGTGTCAAACTCATTTTGGTCCGGGGGCCGTAGCCAACCTACCTTGATCCCAAAGGGGCCGGATCAGAAAACTCATGTCATATAAACCCCAAAAATAACAATAAGTTCAAATATTTGTGCAGAGAAACACAAATCTATTACAGAAATCTTTTTTAATTGATGAACTCTTTCTTTTACAAAATATTATAATATTATGAAAAACCTGAAACTTTAAGAAAAATACCATTTCAGCACAATGTTTTAACATGAACTTGTATGTAAATAGGAATAAGTAAATTTTTCTTGGAAAATCCTGCACTCTGCATCCACTTCTCATTTTTGACATTTTGTTGATGAGGGTGTCACGGTCGACAGACAAAACGATCGTTCTTTAAGAGCGTTTGGAAAGAGACAAGTCTTCATTTGTTCTGCTCTGGTGGGAGGGGCCACGCACAGAGATGCTGGAGATATTGCTCTGCTAAGCACCGCAGAAAAATACAAATATTTTAATAGAAAATATAATTAAAATATTTTAGTAGAAATTTCAGATGAGGGCCAGATTAAAGGTCTTGGAGGGCCAGATCCGGCCCCCGGACCATATGTTTGACACCCCTGGTCTAAACTATAGATTAGACCAGGAGTAAACCAGGACTAAATCGACATGTAACCAGGACTGCACTAGACTGAATCCACAACAGGTTTGAACTAGACCTGGGCTCAATCGGGACTATTTAACAACAGCTACTGAACCAGAAACAGGTCTAAACCAGGTCTAAACCAGGACTAAACCAGGACTGAACTAGGACTAAACTAGGACTAAAGAATAGAACCAGGACTGTCAGAGACACAACTACTGAACCAACTCTTTACCAGTTCTAAACCAGGACAAAACTAAGACTAAACCAGGACTAAACAAGAACAGAACCTAGACTCTGGACCTGGACTATATGTAGACACAAATACAGAACCAGATCTTTACCATGTTTTAACCGGGACTAAACCAGGGCTAAACCAGGACTAAACCTGGGTTAAATCAGGACTAAAACAGGATTAAACCTGGGTTAAATCAGGACTAAAATAGGATTAAACCTGAGTTAAATCAGGACTAAACCTGGGTTAAATCAGGACTAAACTAGGACTAAACCTCAGTTAAATCAAGACTAAATCAGGTCTAAGCCTAGGTTAAATCAGGATTAAAATAGGACTAAACCTGGGTAAAATCAGGACTAAATCTGGGTTAAATCAGTACTAAAATAGGACTAAACTTGAGTTAAATCAGGACTAAATCAGAACCAAACAAGCTAGACTAAACCAGGACTAAACCTTTACTGAATCAGGACTGGATCTGGACTGAACCAGCACTAAACCAGGATTGAACCAAACCTGAACCAGATCTGTCCAGGATTAATCTAGGTCTAGGACTAGACTAGGGCTGAATAGGAAAAAAGTAAGGACCAAACCAGGATTAAACCAAGACTGAACAGTCTGATTTACCCACTAAACCAGGTCTAAACCAGGATTTAACAAATACAAAATTAGGACTGAACTAGGTTTTAACCAGGACTAAAGCAGGGCCAAGTTAGTAGTGTTACCAATCCTATGGGACTAACCTGTGCTTACGTTTTTATACTTTTCTTCTCAGCAAAATTAATTCACAAAACCCTTCAATCCATTTCATAAACAAACCTTGTACTGTAAATGTATGTAAAGAGATGCAGTTCTTTAGCTTTTCTTTTTTCTTTTGAGCCAACTGTTTTCCATATAAACGTATTTACCTCAGATGATTCGGCGCCTTTGTAGAGCTCACCTTTAGACCTCTCTGATTCAGATCTACTCTTGTTTATTTGTTTGGTTCTTGCTTGAATAATTATGTATTTTTCTGCGGCTACAGTGGACCAAGCACTGTTTATAATTTACATTTTATTCCTGTGAAAAACTTTGTTCAAACGCGCGGGAGGTTTTTTGAGTTGAGTGGATAATTAGTTTTAGCTGTTTAGCTGCAAACTTTTCTGAAAACAGGCTAACCACTCTGCCACAGTCACACAGGGAGGACATGCACACTGCACTCAGAGATCAGGAGTTGAACCCACAACCTCCTGACTGAGAGGAGGAGGCAGGATAACCACTCTGCTACAGTAGCACAGGTAGAACGTACAGGGTTTACCAAAAAAAAAATTGACATTATTTTAAAAGCAATTATCTTGAAAACTACTAAGTCTAGCTAAATGAAATTGAACAGTTTAAGTGTAGAACATCATAAGTTTATAATGGGACTTTGTTTGCCAATTGGTGAAGTTTTTCCAAATTTTGCATTGAAGACACGCTGCACAGTCTTGGGTGACTGTGTGTGAGCATATTTCAAAATGCAAAATGACTTCTTTTTGGGAGTGAATGGCATGGCTCAACCTGAAAACAGAAAATAAAACATTAAAACAATAAAACATAAAATCTTGATCTGTATCTATACATTTTGTAAAAATATGAGGTTATTTCAACAAGAATTATCAAAATTATTGGCCTGCGAAATGTCATTTTTTGGGACACCCTGTACATGTATAAATTATAGAAGGATTTTATAGTCACAGTTTGTAAATTTAAGCCAAAAAACTTGCATCCTTCCCAAAGACTATATATAAATGGACATAGCTAACCTGCTAACCGCTACGTTTCAAATAGGAAGTGAGCATCGGCTTGCTTCCGGCTCCATCCACTCTGGTTCTAGTTCACCTTCTATTAGTAAACTGTCGCCCTACTTTCTGTAACCGCTGCTGTCAGGCTTCTCATTTCAGTCTTAAAATGTCCTTACTAACCTGCTCTGTACCATTGTTTCCCAAAGACTGGGTCACGACCCTCAGGTGGGTGGCAAGAGATTTTTTTTTTTGGGTCGTCTTGTCACGATCTGCATGTAGCGCTGCAGTATATAGTTCTGACACATGTTGAAATGTTCAGACATGTTTTGTATAATTTCTAATATTTTTGTAATTATTTTATTGACTATTTTGTTCCAATATTGCTGGTTCACTTGAATGTTGAAAAGAAAAAGAAATGGGCTACATTTAATGTCCAAATAAGCAACTTATGGATCCTTTTATTGCTGGTTCAGTTACTGTTTTTCATTGTTTAAAACTTGAGTAATACTAATTGTTCAGAGAGACACAATCACTCAGCCAACAATAAAATATCCTCATTAATGTTCAATAATCCAATTTATTGGTTTATTTGGTTTGAAAAGGTTTGTGGCTTTGAAAATATGGGTCTCCAGGAAAAAAAGTTTGGGAAACATTGCCCTATATGATCCTGTTGGTTTTATTTTTGCCATTGTGTCAGTAAATTAAGATATTAACATTAATAACAGACAAATCAGGTGCGTTCTTTCTCAGAGGTCCTAAACCAGACCAACAGGTTTGACTGACAACATTGCTAAGACCCTCCCTCCTAAAAAGCAGTGCAGGCGGGAAGGGGCGTTATCTTCAACAGTCTCTTTCCAGATTGGCTCTTTTGTTACTGATACTTGCGGTCTGAATTCCAAATATGGACTCGGCTTTAAATTCACCCTGATAACTGCCAGCTTCGATGCGCTTCATTTGACTGGAACCGAACGCTCCACCTCTATGGTCTTTACAGAGAGCTTCTCCATAAACCTGACTCTTGTTTAACCTGGAAGTTACAGAAAGTTGCAAATTACACCTTTAACTAAATAATTACATTTTAAAATTCAACATGAGTCACTGGGTCATTCACAAACCTCTGGCCATGATTTATTTAATATTTTTAATTCTCTTTTTAAAACCACACCTTTAGACTAACAACATTACTTTGGGAGGCTTCACTTGTTTACCATGGGCTCATTATTCATTAGAAAAAGTCGTGTTGCGTTCAAAGCTTGTGCCGAGGTACGATTTTTCCAATTTACTCTGCCTAACGACCCTTGAACTTGGTGATTAATGCTACACTTTACAATGCGTCTCACTGCTTGACTTTAGAAGCAACTTTAGCACCTTTTTTAGCTCCAACCAAGGACAAACTCGCCTGGAACAAGCCTGAAAAGGAGCGCTGTTACTGGGGGATAGGGACCACCAGGGACCACCCCCAGAGCCACAGGGGCCTCTGGGACTGAGCTAACCCGATTTGAGGAGCTCCGAGTGGGGTTGGTGCAGGCAGGAGCAGGCAGGATGATGGATAGAGCTGAAGTAGAACAAACCAAAAGATGGAGGTGAAGTCATCTGACCCACAAAACAGGAGGAAATGGAGGTGTTTGAAAAGTGGAAATGAGAATTAGCCACAGGGACGTGTTTAAGGTGAAAATATGAAACTTTAAAAAGGGGCTATTTTGTAAAATTTACTTTTTGGAGCTTTTTAACATATTATAATCTAGAGGTAAAGAGGTTTCAGATGCTATCCATGTATGTTTGAGTAATCTAGCCATCTCTCCCAGGCCCTATTTGAACCTTCCTTGTGGTTAGTAGTACGATCCTGTGTCATGCTCCAGCAACAAGCCTATGACATCTATGCTCCCACAAGACAATTCTCCACAAATATACAAAACCAGGTTACCAAACAATACGCTACAACTTCACAAACCTGATGCGATGTGCAGTAGATGTATTAGCAGAATGCACTTGGGGCGACAGTAGCTCAGTGGAGCAACTAGCTGAGTTAGTACAGCATTTTTTCACTGATCCAGAGGTTTGAATCCCACTCTCAACAAAAGATCACTGACCCATAAGTTGGCTGCTGTAATCCAGCTCCCACAGATGAATGTTGTTATTGTGTCCTTGGGCAAGAAACATAACCTGCCTCGCCCCTAGTGTTTGCATACACCGGTCTGTGAATGGGTGAGTGGTTCTTTGTTGTAAAGTGCTTTGACGGCCTTGAAAGTAGAAAAGCACTATATAAAAATGTGACCATTTACCTCTTGTGTTGTGACAGTGCTCTGAAGGGGTAGTGACTTAGCATGGAGAGCTAAAGGAGGGGGCACTCAGAGCATCAAAAATGATACCGAAAGTGGTGAACATGTCAATATGTTGTGTTCAGCGAACAGATCATTTTCAAAACAATAAAAAGTATCGTGGTGATATAGATATTATGTGTTGGCAGTTACCCGCCTCTTTTCATTTTCCTATCCTAACTCAGGGACAACATGCATACTCCACTCAAAGATATCAGGAATCAAACCCACAACCTCCTTACTGAACTACTTGTCCAGCTAGAAGCACACGCTTAGGCAAAACCTTACAAAGACAAGCAGCCATGTCCTGTGAACCTGATTTCAGAGGGCGTGATTGACAGACGGATTAATCAGAGAGATGCATGCTTAGTTTGTATCAAAAACAAAAATGGCTGAAAGCTCTTATTTATCTCAGGTAAAAAAAGTGATATATTTTATTTATTTTTTTAAATGTAAGGAGCAAGATCTACAGGGGATTTTTTCTTGGTTAAACATCCAGAACAGCTGCTCCTCAAGGACAAGGCTCAAAAACAGACATTGAAGATGCTTGTAGTGTAAAAACATACTTTGTTGTGACAGAGTAACAAAAAGAGTTCATAAAGGTCCAAGACCTTCTGTTGAAAATATTGTACAAGTCCTTGTAGAATACACTGCTACTGCTACTTCTGTGTCGAAAGGTGCTGGCCTGTCTCATGTAACCAAAAAAAAAGAAACATAATATACATAATATATTTCATAATATATTTTCAACAAAGGGCCTTGGACCTTTTTTGATTGCTTTTTATTCGGTCACAACAAAGTAAGTTTATACTACAAGCATGGTCATCTTTACTGTTTGTTACAGGTGCACTGCACAACTTGTGTAGGTCACCTGCTTGTCTCCATGGAGATGCTTTGTCTTGAAATTTCCATGCTAGAGCTGAGTAGATTCTATCCTAAGGGAAGCAACTATAGTCAGACAGAAACATACTACAGGTCAGATCTGTGGACAGGCAATCCTATTCACAGAGAGATTTATTGCATTTTTGAACAGTAGAAACAACCATAATAAATAAATGTTAGATCAGACATGTCAGACTCAGGCCTGGGGGTCACATTTTTTATATTATCCTTGTTCTGGATTCAGTGTTTAAGCAAAACAATTATTAAACATTTATTTTAATAAGAAAAGGTTTGACATTACATACCTCGAAAGAAGAGAAAACACGCAGATGTTGTTGAAAATGTTCTTACTGGAACTTAGTCCCAGTTTAATTCTGGCCCTCTGTGAATCTGAGTTTGACACCCCTGTACTAGATACATGTGTTAAAAGTCATACTATGGAACATCCCAGGAAAAGCAATAACATCTCCAAGGAGGCAAGTATATGACGGATCCTCCACCAGAAAAGTTGTGCACATTTAAGTTGTACATTTTGTTTTGAAGGATACGAGAATTTTGGAGAGGAGATGTCTTCTGCTCATGATACAAATGATCAGCTGTGATTGGATCGTCTCAAGTTTGGAGATGATCCAACCACGCTCTATGGTCTGATTCATGGTCTGAACCAGGTTTTTCACGCTCTGTGGTCTGATTCCACAGTCTTCCGTATTCATGTAGTGACTATCCTATCAGGCAACTCACTGAGAAGAGGAGACAGTCGAACCACTCAAACTCCAGGTAGCTCTCCAGTAATCCTATTCATTTTCATCCAGGCTATAGAGCAGCACATTGAGCAGAGATGCAGACTACGGGCTGTTTTGCTGGTGTCAGACACATTTGTCATTTTGCGGGTTAACGACGGTGTTTTTGGAGTCGCGGTCTCACTCGGGCCCCGTGCACTCCCCTTCATCCATCTGAGCGCTCACATTACGCTGTCAACATGAAATATTCAAATGAAGCCCGAGCAGAGCAGGTACGCGGAAAGGACCTGGAATATGCAGGAGGAAGTGGGTCACGTATGGAAGCACAACTGGGACAAAAGACAAAATACCGCAAGCCTAACGCAGGAGAGGAGGTGGCAGAGTGGTTTTCATGTCTCTTCCTCTTAGTAAGAAGCTTGTGGGTTAGACTCCTGATCTCTGTGTTACTGCGTCGTATCCTGTCCATTCCAGCTTACTTCCCTCTTACCTCATGCATTCAGAACATCCTAATTATTCACCACGATGAATTTATGAGCACTTGACACGTGACTATTGGACAATAAAACATAGCAAGTGCACAGCCAGTTTATTTTGACCTCAAGAGTTGCTTATACAATACTAGTACATCCAGGAAAGTTGCATGGTGCACCCTCCCGGTTACCATGAAGCTGTGTTCCAGTGTTCCAGTCTTCCCGCTCTCCGCCAGTCCCTCACAAGTTTCTCGCTCACTCCAAACTTTCTCTCTGTGGCTCGATTACTGTTTTTGCCTGAATATTTCACTACTTGCGGCAGGACAACGTCTTTTTTATTGCAGGAGACATGTGAAGTAGAGGGCGAAGTGACAGTGGTACAGTCCTGCACGGATCCATTTTTGGAGACTCACACCCGCGCAGTCCAGCACCGCACTCGCCCGTTAACTCGTGATTATATCAAAGTTAAACCCAAACCTGTCCGAACCCATCCGGACCCGTTAACATTCCACCCGTTGCCCTTGATAAATCACACACAAGTTTTCTAACTGAAGCGTCCATTAGAATACGAATTGAAAAGTTATGACTTTAAGAATTACAAATCACAAAATGAAATGAAACGGTTATGCTTTCTTCAGTGCAAATACAAATTCACAGACTCGACTCGAATGTGAAAAATACATCATCACTTCTGAGAGAGAAGAAACAGCAGAAGAAACACTGATTGAGATGCCGGACTTTTGCACTGCACATGCCATGGACTGAATCAGGATTAAGCCAGTACTAAATCAGGACTGAACCAGTACTAAACCAAGACTGAACCAGGACTAAAACAGGACTAAACCAGGACTGATCCAGGACTAATCCAGGACTGACTCAAGGCTAACTGAGTACTAACGGAGGATCGACCGAAGACTAACCCAGGACTAACCCAGGACTAAGCCAGAACTGAACCAGGACTCACTGTCAGGACAGGTTCAGAGGTGCGCCCGCGTAGTCCATCGAGTAACCGCGGGAGAAAGGACCGGAGAGCTCTGCACCGCACGGAGGTAAGGGCAGCCATCGCCCGATCACGCTTTGCGGACACCTCCTCCACGGGCTCTGGGTTCTCTCTCTTTCTCTTAAGTCCAAGATTAGTCCTGGTGTAGTCCTGGTTTAGTCCTGACCCGCCCGTGTGTACTTACTACCCACCTGCATACCTGCACGTAAAATTCCAGAATGTTAAAACCCGCCCATTTCAGCAACTATTTGTGCAGGACTCTGGACAGTGGTAGAAGATACTGAGTATAAGTCACAGAACCACCCAAACCATGAAAAAAGTGCCACTTGTAGTCCAAAAAATACAGTAACCTGTTTCTTTTATTAACAGATTTTAGATGAATATCGAGATTTAAAATGTCCAGTATAAACATAGACCTTATAAAGAAGCATTCGGCAGCTTCAGTCCAATGAAGCTCACGAGGCTAGGAGTTATAGGAGCGGATTTGGAGCTCCTTGTTTGGAATAGGAGTTTATTCATGGACAAAATGGCAAAATAAAAACACCAGGATCATGCAGAGGGGACATTTTAAGACCAAAATAACAAGGCTCACATTAGCAATTACAGAGAGGGGTGACAGTTTTCAACGTAAAGTCATTTGGAAGCAGAATCGATGGAGCCAGAAGCGTCTCCATGAACACTTCCTATTAGCATTTTTCCTCCAAAAGTTTCCCCTCGTTAAAAGAGCAGGTCTGGAATAACATTAATTCCAAACACTGATCCAATTTGTTGTAAAAACGTGAGGATTCGTGCAGATGTTTTGCCTCCCGCTGCGTCTCTCTCTCTCCTCCATCTCTTCATCTCTTCATCTCTCTTCTCGTTTGTTGTAATCAAAGAAAACCTGTGGTCTTTTTAATCACCTCCAAATGAATCGCTCTTCCTCCCATCTGATTACCATGAATATTCAACAGCAGGTCTACGGCAACGGCCATTTTGTCTCCTGCAAGTTTTAATTATGCGCGATTCAGGATGTACCTCGAGTCAGAGAGATAAATCAGGTGAGGGGAGGGAACGAGAGAAAGGAGAGAGAGTAAAGAGAAGGAGAAAGAGGAGAGGGAGAGAAGGGGAAATAGGAGAATGTGAGAAGATAAGATAAGAGAAAGATG